GAGTAACGAAGTAGTGTAATATATTACTTTTTTTTAAAGTAATATGTAATATGTAATATATTACTTTTTTTTAGTAACGACCCCATCTCTGAATATGCCTTATATAGGTATGGTCCTACACTATATTATTCAAATATAGCATGATAGGTCCACTTTAAGTTAAAATCCTGTTATTCCACTGCTATCAGTGATCCGCTTCCAGGATGAATGCAGATTGCTCCAACTCCACATGCGGTCTTGGCAGAGTCCAGGCGTGGGTTCAGTTTTGAAACTTTACCGTTGAAACTCAATAGATATGAGTTAGTATTTCTCTGTAGTTGAGTCAACACAGATTTTTTTTTCTGTGTGTGTGTGTGTGTGTGTGTGTGTGTGTGTGTGTGTCGAGAATTCTTACATACTTGTGTTTTATTTTAATGTTAGTGCTTAGATTTAACTGGCAAATTGTTGAATTTTTTTTTAATCTTTTCACTAGTTTACATCACATGTATGTGAACAAGAGCTTTATTGAAGAAATAATGTGGTTTAGTGTAATGCAACACATGGTAGACAGAAACGCTCTGCTCTAACATGTAACTGAGTTCCTCAGTTATGTTGAAAATATTTTCAAATTCTCCTGTTGAAACTGCAGTAAATGTCAATATAAAACTGCCATTTTAAGAATCAAGTATCACTGTTTTGATTACTAAACACTAGAAATATATATTTTGCATTTCTCATAATGACTTAAATACCATTTGGTGTACCCTGTTGAAGACCGTTACCATAGGAAACAAATTGAATTTGGTTTTGTTTTTTTATCAAATGGTCGTTTTTATTCATCATTATTTAGATGAATTAATGAGGACATGGTTCATGTGTGCCTCGCGTGACACAGCCTAATCAAACATTTCTTTGACTTGTGTGACAAACTAGCTGAACCTCAGTAACCAGTTTCCAACCTCAGATATGAGTGTTGATGTCAGAAGACACCACACTCATATCTTCAAGTAAAGTGTCATACAACGTGTCTTATCGTATTGGTATACTGCTGTAGACACGTATGCAAACAGCGTTTCAAGTGGCTGCCCTTTGCCATTTTTTAGGAAAGTAGGAAATAAATAAATAAAAATAAATATAATATTAGGAATACTATCATTCACAACCCTTTCTCTTTCCTGAATGGTCATTCTCCATAATGTACGTGATTTACCAATAGTAGGACTGTTTCATTTTGTATCTATTATATTACATTATCTTATTTATATCTTGGAACCTGGAATAGCTTCTTAGCGATGTCATAGGACCTTCACTATGGTTTGCTGAGGTTATATAGCTTCATTGAGCAATATAGAACATCAAAATGTTATATTTATATTATATTTATATATTTTTTAATATTTTAAATTATTTATTTATTTTCTGTTAGGTTAAAACACAAGTTAATTTATTTATTTCATTGTTTTTAACACACTTCTTCTGTAAAAAATCTTCTGTTAATCCCCTTGTATGAGTGTCTTGGCTGACCTGCTTCTCTGACTAAGCAGCTCAATAAATAAATATCTGCCTGCACAATCCAATCTGTTTCATTGAATGAATTGAATGAAAGAGAAAACGATATTTGAGAACATTTTTTAATGTTGCCATTGCATTAAAGAGCAAACACTCAGTGACTAAGACACATCCTTTTCTACCAAATACAATACAAGTGTGCTGAAGCAAAGCTTTTTGAAATATTGTTACTATCCTTTCAAACATTTCTTCTCTTGAATACAGCGGTTGATCCAGGAACGGTATTTTGAGATATCAATGTAGACGTTGGGTAAACCTGTGAAGGAACAGTCCTCGTTGACAGTCGCAATTCCAACAGCTATCCCCTTGCACACGAGGGGTCCACCAGCATCTCTCTGTGAGCAGGAAATATCTTTATTTGTTAAAAAGATTATGCATGATGTTATACCTTCTTTTGGAATAAGAAACAAATGTATCTAACATACCTTACAAAATCCTCCCTTGTCTGTTGTCTGTTTTCCACCTGTACAGATAGCATTGGCACGAAGTCCAGGAATCTGCACTTTGCAAGCCTTCGGGCTGATGACAGTCACATCCACCACATGGAGCTGATCGTCATGATCAGATCCATCGTTCTTCACTGGACCCCATCCAGCTACTTGGCACTTTTCATTTTCTTTTACATCCGTTTCAGGGTCTTGAAGTTTAATTTCTTTTGGTAGCTTTTCTGGTTTTCCTGAATTTATCTTGAGACGAATAAAATCAAAAAGCAGTTTTTCAAAACACAGTCTTACTCTACATCATATGTCAAATGTGTTTGTTGGAGCACATGAGTCACTTAAATAAAGGTTATTACGAGCAGTATTACAGTAAATCAACCGGTTTTTGATTGTGCTGTGTAAATATTATAAGCAGGAATATTTAATACTATTTGCTTCCCCCCGTTTATTTACATTTACCCTCACTGAATTAAACTCAGTTGTTTAATTTTCTTCAAACCAAGGGACTACTGGGCTGAATAAACTTACTTCAATGAGCATGATGTCAGTCCCAATTCCAGGTGGGGGTTTGCATGTGGACATAATGTGTTCTTTTATTTTAAAGCCAGGTTTGCTGAGAACGTGGGTGCCGAGAACAACAAATATTGTTCCGTCTTCATCACTGAAAAAGACATCAGTGAGAGGTGATCGTTGTATTTTGTAAAGTTGTGACAACACAGAAAAAATGAAACATGCTTTTTACATCAAACAACAAAACACTAGCTAGAAAAGGAAGAGCAACTTACAATTTACACGCCCCATGGGTGACAACAAAATGTTTGCTGACAAGGAATCCTCCACATTTGTGTTCACCGTCTTCCTGCACCGATACCATATACTTCATCGAATTATCTGTGGCATTTGTCCCATTTATGATTGTACTTCCAAGTACTGTAATCATATGAATAAAATAACAAAAAGTTTAAACTAGTTATTATCTCATTTGCAGGATGAAGAAAAGTCATCAGAGCAACTTACCGTTTTGATCTTGGCATGCCAGAAGAAAAAGAAGCAGAAGCTTGTAGAGCCCACGCATCGTGGCGACCGGATGATCAGCCCGCTGTCAAGTGGAACCTTTTTACTGCAGAGTTCGAACTACACAATATGATTGCCATCTATTTATCTTCACTTCCAACCACATCCTGCGGGAGATGCTATTTTGCAACATTGAAAAGAACATACATCATGTACATACTATGTGTTAGGACATACATTTATAAATTCCTCCTCTTCCTCCATGTCACTCCCCATCCATTTTCACAAAGATCTTTTATAAAGCTATTACTTGCATCATTTCCTGCCGTTAGTAGGTGAAACTGGCAGGCTGTGTCCAGTAACCAGGACTTTCCCACAAGCATATGTCGAAGTGGATAAGAGTGACCAGCTAGGGGTTTTCTATTAGCCTGTAAAGCCTACATTTGGTTGCCTCTGTCACATTTTAAAGCCACTATTTCATCGTACACACAGAAACTTATGACTGTTAACCCAATTTTGACATGCAGTGAAATATTGAGGAACATTAAGTCCTTGTGCATTTTCCCCTCTCTCTGTAAATAGCTATTCATATTGAAAACCACACCTATTCCTAACCAGCACTTTTGTAACTGAGCATCATTAGACCTTAATAGTATTTGTTTATGAATCTATTGAAACCTTCACCACATGTTATACTTAATTGATATACTATACTCCACATAATGGCAGCAAGCATTTTTCTATTTATTTGTAATAATGATAATACACTTTATTTATATAGCACCTCTTCAGAACTGCTTTTAATCTGTAATTAATGTTGTGTTTTATATATTTTAAGTGTTTTGTTTTAATGTTTTTTTTTGAGTTTCTAGATAAGCGCTCTTTAAATAAAATGCATTATTATTATTATTATTATTAATATTATAGAACCTTCAATGCAAGATGCAGCCTAAGGTGCTTTACAGATACAAAATAAAGAAGGAGGAACATAATTAAAAACAAGTTATAAAAAACAGAAAGAGTTATATCACATAACAATAAAACAATACAACATAAACAGTGATACCTCTAAAATTACTCCAAATTCAAAGATAGGTCTTCAATTTACTTTTAAAAACTCCAATGGAGTTTGCTGTTCTAAGATCCAATGGGAAAAACATAAAGCAGCCTCCCCAGATTTCTTGTGTATTACTTTAGGTACTTCTAAAAGAAATGCATCGGAGGATCTGAGTGTTCTTGTTGGGTTATCAAAAGAAAGGCAGTCCCTGATGTGTGTAGGGCCCGGGTTATGGAAAGCCTTGTAAATAATTAAAACCATTTTAAAATCAACTCGGAAAGACACCGGTAACCAGTGCAGTGATGCCAGCACAGGGAACATGTGATCCCTTTTTTCTGTGTTTGTTCAAATCCTGGTCGCAGCATTCTGAATTAATTGCAATTTCTTTGAAGATTTTTTTGGAGACCACGAGAATTGCAGTAGTCCAAGCGACTAGTAATAAAAGTATGAAAAACAATTTCAGCTGAGTTAGATTTCTGATACTGTTTGCCATTTTTTTTCATTAGTTAATTCTATTGAAGTGCGTTCTATGAGTGTTAAAAGTTGCTTATAATAATGCTTATAATCCTATGGTGACGTCACATGCTCAACCTCTCCAAGTGCCGGATCTCATTATTATGATTATTTAAACATACAAAATGAATGTCTACTGATTAAATAAACCTTGATAGACCAATCTGTGACACCACAAAGCCTCCATATTACAATGAATCTTTGCTGAAGTAAAACCTTTTCCTAAAAGAGATTCAAACCTCATGTGTTCGGATAAAGAAAAGAGAAAACAACATTTGAGACATTTGGTTTATTTTGCTTTTCCATTAAAGAGCGAACACTGACAGAGCAGCTGAGACACAGCCTCCCCTCCTAAATACATTCAAAGTGTGCTGAAGCAAAGCTTTATGAAATTGTATATTAAGCTTTTTAATTGATGATACTGTTGATCAGCCAAGGTATTTGGAGATCTCTGTGTAGACGTTGGGTTTATTTGGGTAGTTACAGATTCTGCCGTAGTTGAAAGACACAACACCAACAGCTATCCCGTCGCACACCAGAGGACCACCAGAATCACCCTGTGAACAAGGAATATTATTCATTATTGATTATTTTATTTAAGATTTTTAAAGCATTTTTATACCAGCTTACATTTTACATCAACAAAGACAAATCATACCTGACAGATGCCTTTGTGGCTGCCATAACCGCCGGCACAGATAACATCGGAAGGAACAGAAGGACCCATGACTGAGAGCATTTCAATCAGGAGAGACGGTTTTGATGTAATAATACATATTTATTGCGCAGATGCACAAATGAATGCAATGGTAATTTTGGCGATTAGGCCCCGTTGTGCAGGAAGTATCATTCGGGAGGGTAGAACCGATCCGATGAAACCCCCCTGGGGTCTAGACACTGGTGGTGGTGAATGGATAGTTGGGTTGGTCTGAAGAGGAGTGGTTTAGCTTGACCCTGGATTCAGAGGGACAGGAGGTGAAAAGGGGGTGGAGGAGGGTTGCGCTGATTCACCTGGAATGAGAGCTGTCAGAGGGGAGAGCAGATTTAAAAGGTTTGACAGAGCGCTATGATAGGCTCTTGGGAATAGAGCGAAGTGATTGGTTAAGCTGAAGAGTGACGCCCCCGGTTACTTATTGAGAGGAGAGAGAGTAATAACATGGGAATAGAAATACATGAATGAGTAGAGACGGTCTTCCTGGTTGAACTTGCGCTGAGCTTCATGTGTCCAGGTTTATGACAGACACATCCACCTCCATCAGCCTATCAACAACTCCACCACCAGTCTCTGTGTTACCCCATCCAGCTACATGGCAGGTTTTCTTTTCTTGAATGTGCATATTAGAAGGAGGAAGGGCAATGATTGTTTTTTTGTTCCCGGCAACTTTCCTCGTCAGCTGGAGATGAACAAAATCTCAAAGTAAATCTCACAAAACTAGCAATGTCTGTAATATAAGATAATGCTTTTTTATTCTTCAGACTTCAATGTAACAAAAAATGACTGAATATGAAGCTGAAAGTTACATTATTAATTTGATCCAAAACAAATGTGTACTTACTTTGAGGAGCATGATGTCATAACCTCCGTCTACTTGTGTATAGGATCGGTGTTTGTAGCTCTGTTCAATGTATCTTACATTTTCATCACCAACGTTGAGGAGATTGTGAGTGCCAACAACGACCCTGTCCGGTTTCCTGAATGAAAGATTATATTCAATATTGAAAATAACATTAAAAAATAAAGGTGGTTAATATATCTTGAAGACTTTTCAAATTGAATTGAATGATTCAAAGATAGTGGATAAAGGAAGTTATACTCACTCGACGCGACAGTGCGCAGCAGTGAGCACAAAGTCTTCGCTGATCAGGAATCCTCCGCACACATGTTTCTCGTCGCTTTGCAGGGAGACTAAAAACTCAAACGTATCATCTGGGGCTATTGCTTTTGGGATTATACTACCATCTGCTGAAATAAGTAAAGGGTCATAGGTTAAATTCAGTTAAGGATTGGAGCATAATAAACAGAGTTCGGAGTATTACCATTTTGTCCGAGAGATGTCAGGACCTGAAAAAGCAGGAGTTTGTGCAGAGCATGCATGATGCCTGCAAGACAATTGACTTGCCTTTGATCTTCGGGGCATTAAGTTGATCCTTTTATGCAGCACTTTTTCTGATTAAAGGTCCCATGTCATGGCCATTTCTACTGATCATAATTCCATTGTTGAGGTCTACTAAAATCGATTTACATTGTTCAATTTTCTGAACTCACATTGGTGCTCTGATTGGTCAGCTCGCCCACTCTGTTCTGATGAGTCCGCCACCGTTACAGCGGAACATCAGTGTTTATGTTTTACAATGGCGTTTGTTAGCAACCAGAAAAGGACACCAGTTATAACAAACAGATGAGATTGCTGCGTGGGCTCGCTGCTCCGCCCTGTGAGGCTCGAGGAGAGGACAGTGTGAGGTGGATTACTGGTGTCGTTTCCTGGTCGCTGCGTGGGGTCTGCGTGCCATGCCAGCGGACACCGCGGAGCTCAGCCCGAGCACCGCGGTGTCCGCTGGCATGGCACTTGGTCTATATCCAACATCCAGGGAAACACAGCGGGAAATCCACCTTACACTGTCCGGACTCGTGAGCTGCTCGGGAGTCCACCCTGGCAGAGGGTGTGCCTATTGTTCTATAGCTGTGTGCCAATTGGTCCATTTGGACTTAGTGACTTCAATAGGAATGGAAATGGAAAAAGAAAAATCTACAACGAGGCGTTCTGGGGAAGCATAGACACGTCTTTTCTGTGTTAGAGTTTTACTCGCTACAGGGTGTACTTTGAGGGTTTGTGACTTTGCAGACTGTTTACGTGCCGAAAAAGCTATAACAAACAAGGGGACGGGTAATAACCGGAAAAGCAAATGATGGGACCTTTAACACATCGATTATTTTGAATTCTGACCACATCCACATGCAAGGTTTGCCTGCAAGTTTGCACTAACATATTTCATTAGTCCCCATTTTGCCGTTGTTTTTATTTGTTGGAGCAGCCCACTCAAACATTTCTTGTGAAATCTGCAACAAACCAGCTGAACCACAGAAACTGGTTTCCTGCTTCACTTCTGAGCTAACATCAAAGTTGTAAAACAAATACTATTTAATCACTTTGATCATCATTTCACAGAAAAATGATCTAAATGTAAAATCTAAATTGGGGGTGAATGGCCGCTTCCTTCATATCAATCCAAACTGTATCTGCAAAGTCTTGAGACTGCATGTGACACGGTTGCTTAAGGTGACAAAATCTATCCACAGACACACGAGTACTAGGTATATGTTAATTTAGTAGAGTCCTTTTCATTTGGCTCTATACAAATAACATTTATGATAAATATAATCTTAAATTATAAGACCCTGTATTAAAAGCTAACATGTTGGGGACATGACCAAGTGATGCGACTGCATTCATCAAAATCTGCACATATCTTTAAAACTGAAATGATCTGCACAGCCACATTTAATGTTCAATGTTTCCAGACAGACATGAATTAATCTAATGTTACAGCAGGTTGGAAGGATATTGAAAAAATAAACAAAATGAATATGCAGTGCAAATGTTAGGCCTTTACTCGAATATGGAGATTTCTTAAAAGGCCCAACCAGTCACTTAATGACATTAATAACTAAGGATTTCATGTCTTGTAAGAAAGTAAATTCTAATAAAGATACAAATGTATGTAAATGTGCTCTTTCTAAAGAATAAAAAACACTTCATTCAAGGCCGCATTACAAAGATGATATCCGGCACCTGCCCTCGGCATATATACGTTTTTAATATTATGTTGTTTGGCACCTATAACTCTCCTTATTTCTTAGTGATACCTTTTGTATTTGGCTATTGTGTTTCTGATTTGAAGGTATTTTATCCTGGGGTTATTTCATGACCTTGGCATTTCTGTTTCCTGTTTTATTTTGTAAAAAGCACTCACCTTGTTTCATTGACTTCCTGTTTATGTGGTTTCCCACTTTATGTGAGTGTTGGCCTCGTCCTGATTGGATCCACCTGTGTGTATCTTGAATCATGAACTGAATGCCTGCAATACAATTGTTCCAGTAATCTACAGGGTCGTTGGACAGCTACAGTGACCTCTTGCCTAGCATTTAGGGCAGGGTTAGTGAGCATGGGCAAATCAATGGTAACATCAGCTGTGCCACTGATTTGAATGATGTCTCAAAGTGAGGTGTTCATACTTTATCCGTGAAAACATTCATGAAATACGCCCTTTTTTAAAAGGATGGTTGGATTACAAAACACGTGTAACTTGCATGTTCAAAACAGGCTTTCATAATAGATGCAAGAAACGTTTAGTGTTAAAGACAACGGCCATATTGAGGCCCACAACGCTTTAAGGGTTAAAACTGCTGTATGTGTCACAGGGTACAAGATTACAATTGCATGTCAAAGTTGTTTAGCAAAGGTGGACATTTTGAAAAAAAAGCTACGAATAGACGTTTCCTGGTTCCACCCCTGGTACATTGCAGCCTCTGTCAGAATGTGTGTGTGTGTGTGTGTGTGTGTGTGTGTGTGTGTGTGTGTGTGTGTGTGTGTGTGTGTGTGTGTGTGTGTGTGTGTGTGTGTGTGTGTGTGTGTGTGTGTGTGTGTGTGTCTATCCATGTTGGCATGTTTTCATGTTTTGTATTAAGGAGCAATGTGGTTGGTAGACTAGTAAAATGTAATCTATATATCTGTAAGATACCCATATTCATTAAAGTGACAGAGATAAAAGTATGTGTGTGTGTGTGTGTGTGTGTGTCGAATTTTTACAAACTTGTGTTTTATTTTAATGTTAGTGCTTAGATTTATTTCTTGCAAATTGTTGAAAGAATTATTTATTTCCTCTTTTCACTAGTTTACATCACATGTATGTGAACAAGAGCTTCATTGAAGAAATAATGTGGTTTAGTATAATGCAACACATGGTAGACAGAAACGCTCTGCTCTAACATGTAACTGAGTTCCTCAGTTATGTTGAAAATATTTTTCAAATTCTCCGGTTGAAACTGCAGTAAATGTCAATATAAAACTGCCATTTTAAGAATCAAGTATCACTGTTTTGATTACTAAACACTAGAAATATATATTTTACATTTGTCATAATGACTTAAATACCATTTTGTGTACCCTGTTGAAGACCGTTACCATAGGAAACAAATACTACAATATTTTGAATTTGGTTTTGTTTTTTATCAAATGTTCGTATTTATTCATCATTATTTAGATGAATTAATGAGGACATGGTTCATGTGTGCCTCGCGTGACACAGCCTAATCAAACATTTCTTTGACTTGTGTGACAAACTAGCTGAACCTCAGTAACCACAGTTTCCAACCTCAGATATGAGTGTTGATGTCAGAAGACACCACACTCATATCTTCAAGTAAAGTGTCATGAAACGTGTCTTATTGTCTTGGTATACTGCTGTAGACACGTATGCAAACAGCGTTTCAAGTGGCTGCCCTTTGCCATTTTTTAGGAAAATAGGAAATAAATAAATAACATAAAATATAATATTACGATTACTGTCATTCACAATCACATTCTTTCCTGAATGATCATTCTCCATAATGTACGTGATTTACCAATAGTAGGAATGTTTCATTTTGAATCTATTATATTACATTATCTTATTTATAGTCTAATGGGATGGCATTCATATCTTGGAACCTGGAATAGCTTCTTAGCAATGTCATAGGACCTTCACTATGGTTTGCTGACGTTATATAGCTTCATTGAGCAATATAGAACATCAACATGTTATATACATTATATTTATATATTTTTAAATATTTAAAATAACTTATTTATTTCCTGTTAGGTTAAAACACAAGTTAATTTATTTACTTCTTCTGTAAAAAAATCTTCTGTTAATCCCCTTGTATGAGTGTCTTGGCTGACCTGCTTCTCTGACTAAGCAGCTCAATAAATAAATATCTGCCTGCACAATCCAATCTGTTTCATTGAATGAAAGAGAAAACGATATTTGAGAAACATTTTTAATGTTGCCATTGCATTAAAGAGCAAACACTCAGTGACTAAGACACATCCTTTCCTACCAAATACATACAAGTGTGCTGAAGCAAAGCTTTTTGAAATATTGTTACATTTTACAAACATTTCTTCGCTTTAATACAGGCGTTGATCCAGGAACGGTATTCTGAGATATCAATGTAGACGCTGGGTAAACCTGTGAAGGAACAGTCCTCGTTGACAGTCGCAATTCCAACAGCTTTCCCCTTGCACACGAGGGGTCCACCAGCATCTCTCTGTGAGCAGGAAATATCTTTATTTGTTAAAAAGATTATGCATGATGTTATACCTTCTTTTGGAATAAGAAACAAATGTATCTAACATACCTTACAAAATCGTCCCTCGTCTGTTGTCTGTTTTCCACCTGTACAGATAGCATTGGCACGAAGTCCAGGAATCTGCACTTTGCAAGCCTCCTGGCTGATGACAGTCACGTTCACCACATTGAGCTGATCGTCATGATCAGATCCATTGTTCTTCACTGGACCCCATCCAGCAAATTGGCACTTTTCATTTTCTTTTACATCCGTTTCAGGGTCTTGAAGTTGAATTTCTTTTGGTAGATCGTCTGGTTTTTTTCGATATATCTTGAGACGAATAAAATCAAAAAGCAGTTTTTCAAAACAGTCTTACTCTACATCAGGGCTATTCAATTGGCGGCCCGCGGGCCAAATCCGGCCCCGGGGTGATATTTACTGGCCCTTTGAGTATAATGTTAAAAAGTCATCAATTTTTTTTTTTTAAGATTTTTTTTTTTTTTTGTGCCATAGTGCCTTTATTCCAGAGAGGGTGTTACATTGAGAGATAGAGGGGTAGACAATGCCTGAAAACTTCGACGGGCTCGGGTTTCGAACCCACCTACTATACTGTAGTGACAACTCCTGTCATTGATTGCATCTCTGCGTGAATGATTAGATCAATGAAATCAAATGAAACATGTAGGCCTACTGAGTTCTGAACTTGCCATTTAGATCTATAAAGGCCTTGGGGCTATGTTGTTTGATTGAATTAAACACAATATATGCACTCCACTATGCTGTTGTAGTATTTACTGTATCTGAAGCTC